AGCGCCATTGGAAAGCTAAGATCCAAGGCTACAACTTTCATGAAGACTATGAAGTCCAATTCTGAAATCCAAATGCGCGCTTAGCGCGTTCAAATGCGCGATCAGCGCGTATCAACCAGAGACCTACAGAGGTCTATTGCGCCCAGCGCGGTTCTCCCCGCGCTCAGCGCGATTCACCTAGTGAGTCCCCATTTCAAGTCGCGCTCAGCGCGAAGAACTGCGCCCGGCGCAGATTCAAACAGCAACTCACCCTAGTTCGAAAATTCCACCCAAAACCTGCAAAATTAACATCCTAGGCACATGCAATTGGTCCAAAACATCACATTTTCATCATACAACCCGAAAATACCAGCTTTTTCAACATGCAACCACAAACAAGGAAAGATCACCAAATTTTCACCCAAATCCCAAAACCCCGGAAAAATCCATTTTCATCAACCTCAGCTCAAATCATCCAACGTTCAGACAACAATGAGCTACTAGAACTCATTTTCAGCAATTAATCTACAAAAGAAACTAGCTTCCCTTACCTCGGTGAAGAATCCGAGCTTCGGGATCACGGAGAATGGAGAAGAAGATCGGAAAAGATGGTGAACGGAGGAGGAAGAAGGAAATCCGTGCGTCCACAAGCTCTTCCACCTACTCAACAACCAAGCTTACCACAGCCACTACAAAGAAGAAGGAATCAGCTACTAGGAAAGGAGAGAAAAGGAAAATGAGAGTGAGTGGAAGTGAAAGAGTGAAAATGAGGGGAGAAAAAGAGAAAGAGGGAAGGGTCTCACAACCTCCTCAACAACAAGAGTTTTCGTCCCCGAAAACAGACTAACTTGGGAAAATAAACGGGTATCGCTCCCTGCACTGCTGCTCAACCTCCCAAGTAGCCTCACCAGTAGCTGTATCCCACAACACCTTCACCAGAGCAATGGACTTTCCCCTCAGCTCCTTCTGCTTATGATCAACTATAGCTTCTAGCAACTTCTCTAAGGTCAGATTCTCCTTCACTTGCACATCATCTAGCTCCCCTACATGACCAGAGTCATGAACATACCTCCTCAGCAGTCTATAAGGTTAGTTCCGATCCCACGACCACTGACTCACCATCTTGATACCATAACAGAGGAGTCCTACTTCTTCTTCCATACAAGGCTTCAAACAGCGTCATCCCATTACTAGCATGAAAGCTATTATTGTATACGTGAACTCAACCAGCGATAGGACCTCCCCCCAGCTTCCCCTGGCCTAACACACAAGTCCTCAGCAACTCCTCCAACACCGCTTTCTTCAGCTCAACATCATGAGGTAGGCAAATCCTGGCCTTGTACCTCAAGATTCCATCTCCGCCCAATTCAAAACCAACAGTCTTCTAAGTACCTATCAAACCAAGAAGTTTCACCGGCTCAACATTTTACAACTGTTTCTGTCCAACCGGCCTCAAGAACTCATTAGTTATGGTAATCATCCCACAACTAATGTGATCCTGAGCTAACTCTACACAGAGATTTGGGTCTCTGAACTCCTTAACCAGCTCCAGCTCCCTCACCATCATACTCGACATGTGGATGGATTTCCTACTCAGCGCGTCCGCCACAACATTGGCCTTACCAGGATGGTACATCAACTGGAAATCAAATCCTTCAGAAACTCCACCCACTGCCTCTGCCTCATGTTCAGCTCCTTCTGATCAAACAGGTACTTCAGACTCTTGTGATCACTGAAGACGCTGAACCGAGCACCATAAAGGTAATGTTTCCATATCTTTAAGGCAAACACCACAACTGCTAACTCCAAGTCATGAGTGGGATAATTCCTCTCATGGTTCTTCAGTTGCCTTGAAGCATATGCCACTACTTTCCTGTTTTGTATCAGCACGCACCCCAGTCCCTGGTGAGAAGCATCGCGGTACACATCAAAAGGTTCACTAGAATCCGGCAACACCAACACAGGAGAAGTAGTCAACCTCCTCTTCACCTCATCAAAACTCCGCTCACAGGCATCGATCCAATGAACGGTTGCTCCTTCCTCATCAGCTGGGTTAGAGGCGCTACTATCTTGGAGAATCCCTCAATGAACCTTCGATAGTAACCCGCCAAACCCACAAAACTCTGAGCATCAGTGACAGTTCTGGGACACTCCTACTGCAACACCGACTCCACCTTAGCCAAATCAACAGCAATCCCCTCAACTGAGATTACATGTCCCAAGAACTTCATCTCCGCCAACCAGAACTCACATTTTGAAAGCTTAGCATACAGCTGTTTCGCCTTCAAAATCTCCAGCACCAACCGCAAGTGCTCTCCATGCTCCTCCAGGGTCCTTGAATAAATCAAGATGTTATCAATAAAACACCACTACAAATTTATCCAAGAACAGCTGGAAGATCCTGTTCATCTAATCCATGAACACTACAGGGGCGTTAGTCACACCAAACGGCATCACGACATACTCATAGTGACCATACCTAGTTCTGAAAGCAGTCTTCGGTATGTCACCCTCCTTCACCCTAATTTGGTGATAGCCTGACCTCAAGTCAATCTTCGAGAAAACGAATGCTCCCCTCAGTTGATCCATCAAGTCATCTATCCGAGAAAGTGGATATTTGTTCTTAATGGTCAACTTATTCAACTGCTGGAAATCAACACACAGTCGACTACCTCCTTCTTTCTTTTTCACCATCAACACAGGAGCACTCCACAGCGATACACTCGGTCGCACCAACTGCTTCTCCAACAGGTCCTCTAACTGACCTTTCAGTCCAACCAACTTAGCAGGAGCCATCCTATAGGGAGCCACTGACACTGGCCCCACACCTGGAACCAAGTCAATGCTAAACTCCATCTCCCTAGTAGGAGGCAACCCAGGCACCTCATCAGGGAACACCTCAACAAAATCATCCGCCACATCAATCTCAACAATGACCTTCTTAGTCGCCACACTCATAGCAGCAAGCAGAAGATAGCACTCTGCTCCATCCCTCAACAACAATTCAACTTGACCAGCTGAATCAACAGCTCCTCCTCTAGCAGTAAGCATATGGTGAGTACCTCTCCACCAATGCTCAGCCTCCCCAACCAACATATAGACAACATATGCCCTCCTCCTCCCCTGAGAACATCCCAACACAGCGGAGATCTTCTCTAGCTCACAGATCCAGTGGTCAGCTACCTCTGGGTCGGCATCTCCCTTGAACTTTGGAGGACAACATTTCCGAAACTCAGCTAGATCCTGGCTCTCCTGTGACCCCATGGCCTAAAAAATAAAGAAATTAATACCTTTTTGTACATTCTTAAGTCATTATCCAGAAACATATTAAAATAACACCATAAAAGAAATAGAAAAAGATCACACAAATTTATTTAATGTGGTTTAGCTCCTGATGCCTATATCCAGAAGGATGTTCATTATATATCTCAAAATGTATTACATATATCCTTAAAATCCTCCCTTCAAGTTTTGTGGGTAAAACTTGAAAATCCCTTTCTTACAAGTTTTAGGGTGAAACTTGAAAACCCCTCCCTCACAAGTTTTTCGGCGAAACTTGAAAACTCTCATTCAAAAGTTTTCTAGCAAAACTTGAAAACCGTTCTTCATATGACGTCCTCTCTCATTTAAGGTCGAGTGATTCTTCTCATCTCAAGAGTATATATTTATTCACCATACATCATAATCTTAAAAGAAGAAACAAATCTCTAAAATAAATATGATATATATCAATTCTAAACAATATCCTAAAAGAATCAATATCTTTTAAAATCTAAATAATATCTCGGAGATTTGAATTTGGAAATTTTGAATTATTTTCTCAACATAATTGTACTATTAACTCATGGATTACAAGTGTGATACATGCAAAGAAAAGAAAATGGTTACAATAAAATGAAAATGATTCCTATTCTAGTGAATCTCCATTGCAAGCAATTTGTTGAGAAGAAAGAGAATCAAGTTTGTTGGAGTAAGAAAGACATGTGGATACATGCGTGGGATATGCAAGTATGTGAGGAGCATTTGAGTTGTTTAACACTTGTCATCTACACTACTACAGGATGTATTATCTACATCGGTTTTGGAAGGTAATCTACATCAGTTATAAAACCGATGTAGAATAGAGCGACTTAGAAAAACAAACACTTCTATATCGGTTGTCAAAAAAATTGATGTAGATTTGCGTACAAATCTACATCGGTTGTAAGTAAAACCGATGTAGATTTTACCACTATTCTACATTGGTTATACCAACAATCGATGTAGATGTGTTCACAAATATACATCGGTTCTACTAGAAACCGATATAGATTGAATTTATAAAAAAAGAATTACAACAGGTAGTACTTGTAAAACCTCTTCTTCCTTATCTTCCTCGAATGCAGCAGTTTCTTCTTGTCGTTCAACAGGGCCTTGAGGAGTTCCAAATAGAGTGGCGAATATCTGTTTATGGCATTGGTCACAAAAATAGAAATACGAGAAGTGGCTGATGGAATCATGCCTAGGAAGGCAAGGGGTGACACATTGAAAGAGCCAAGAGGAATGGGCTAGACAGGAAGGTTTGGGCCAGTCAAGGCCCAATGAGCCCGATGGGCTTGGAAGGCCCAAGATAAGCTTCTCATGGGTCATATCTTGTTTTAGCTATTTTCTTATGTCTTGAATATATCATGTTAGTATAGGTTTCCTATATTTTGGGTCTTGTATTTTGGATCATTTAGGATAGCATTTTAGGCCATAGGCTTATTGGGCCTAGTTTTGGGCTTCATGGGCCTTTGGGCTTTTGGTACCCAATATTAGGCTCATTTTCATTCTTGTAATTTTTCCTTTCCATTGTATTTGCTTGGCCATTGTATTTAGGCCATTAGAATAGGAATTTAGAAGGATTAAGTATTAAAGCATGAATCATAGAATGTTAATTACATTTAGGAGTAATTAGAGTTTCATTTGAGTCACATGTTTTGTGCCAAAGGTGGCTGCACATGTGTACACTCAAATGAACCCTAAATTACCTCTAAATGCAATTAAGATATTTCCTTGCCGTTGCTTGCTGCTGTGATGTCTATGAAGTATATGATGCATACATCAATTTGGTTAATCTTGCTTCAAATATAAAAAAATAGGTTCAAATTCATGAGTTCATCATGTCTAACAAAAAAAAACAATAATAATGTCAAACTCCATGAACATTACTATCTAATGAAGATCCTCCTTGTGGTGTTGGCATGTCATGTCCACTCCCTTCATCCTATAAAATACAAATTATTTAATGTTATCCTTAATAATAAAATATGCAAAAAAAAATATTAAACTTTAATTAAGTATTAATATAATTTAATTTAGTGCAAAAACATATAAAAACACTTACCGCTACATTACTACTACCACTACCAAACATAGCCTCTAACTCAGTAGGAATATGTCCTTCCTTCATTTGTATGTAAGCAAGCATGACATTTTTTAATGTCTTGACATTTTCTTGAGAATTTGCCAATTGACCCTTCAAACTAATTACTTCCTTTTTCAGTTGAGAATTTTCAGTGGAATCAGAATTTGAAGAACTGCACCCTACACCACTAAATCTTGTGGATGATTGAAATGCCACACTATGTAGACCTCCTAATCCCAAGCAACGTACACATCCAGCATGATCCTTTCCCAACACTTTACTAAGACTATCATTAGTTGAAATTTCATTAGAGTTGTCACTTTGACACATTTCTGTTGACATCTTCTCCTGAAAAAAACATGAATGAGTTCTTAAAATTCATACATTGACAAACTAGTTTGAGTCAATAATCTTGTTGTTTATATTTTATATTAAGAGAAACTAAAGCAATAATGATTTGCTTTGTTGGAGTTTATAACCTAGCTAGTGGAATCCTGCTGCAGGATATTGAAGTAAATAATAGAAGAGTTAAAATGCATAAAGGACATGGAACTTTTGAATATACTGAGTGGAAGAATCTGAAGGTAGGGCATATAGTGAAGATAATGAAGGATGAATTCTTCCCTGCAGACCTCCTATTACTTTCATCCTGTTATGAGGATGCAGTCTGCTATGTAGAGACTATGAACTTGGATGGAGAGACAAATTTGAAGTTAAAATAAGGGTTGGAAGTAACCTGTTCCTTTCACGAGGACTTTCATTTCGGTGATTTTAAAGCTACAGTCAAATGTGAAGATCCAAATGAAAACTTATTCATTACCCAGATTAAAATACTAATTAATAAGAATATTCGGTCTAAATTAACAAAACTCTAGTATTGAATTCGAATTAAAAATTATTTATAAATTTAGGAACCCGGTAATATATTTGAAGGACAATAATTTATTTAAGAATTTAGAAATATTTTGGGAATAAAGGTAAAATTAAGCCTTAAATTAATAGAGTTTCTCTCAATGTTTAAAGAAAAAATAAACCACTCGTAATAATCTTACCTGTTTAAGAAGAATTTTTCTCTCATACAAAAAAGATAAAATAGCGATCCTCTCCAACAACATAGTTTGTTTATTTTTCTTAATAATTAAGTAGCTGCATTTTTAGTTGGTCAGCTAATTTATGATTTGCGAAGATATTAATGGAACATTTTATAATATTATTAATAGGTAGCTACAACTGTTAATTCTACTGCTAGGTGAGTTGTAACCATTCATCGAGATTAATGGAACATCTCAATTTTTTGCCTCTGCAATCTGTAAACCCTATATAACATTGAAGGTGGGTGCAACTAGTTGGTTCATTCACCAACACTTACTTGAATATATCTTATTCCATATTATATAGAATTTATAAATTTAGGAACTTAATAATAAATTTTCAAGTATAGCAAGTTGCTAAAAATGTAAATAATTCTGGAATGCATACATTAATTTAACCTTAAATTAATAGTCACCTGACACTCACCGAAAATTGGGTCTGTTTCATTTTCGTAATAATCAATTAAATTGATAGTGAGACTAACCAATAATTTGGTCTGTTAAGTTGTTTAAATTAATTAGTTGTGTATTTAGTTGGTTCAACTCATTCTAAATTTCACAACGCCCAACATCAACTGCCTAATCCCGTAAGCCATTTTAGGATTTGTGAATGCAAGTGTTATTATTATTATTTTATTTTATAAACATACAATTTATAACACTATATTTTTCGAAGTGTGAGTCAGAGCAATATGATGAACTCAACAATTTAATCGAACTAATTAAATTAGTTTGAATTTTTTTTTTCCAGAATCAAATCAAACGATTATTTTATATTAATTTATATGTTTTAAAAAATTAAATTATTTGATATTCTATGTCATTAATTTAACTCAATGAATAATCACAAAATTATTTTATATATATAATTTAAAAAAATAAAATACTAAATAAATTTTTAAATTTTTAAAAATTTTTACAGATATAATTTATACAT